CCCCTCACATGTTGTTGTCCCTATTCATGTCACCATGAGGGCCTTCTTCAATCATGTGTCACATGCTGAGTGCCTTCCCACTCAAGTGTCACAGGAAGTGTCCTCTCCATTCATGGGCCACGGACTCCACTTCCTCATAGTGCTTACCCCAGCAGTTCCCTCTGAGATGTCAAACAGCTAGTAGCACACTGGGCTTCCCATCAGGGTTACCTTTAGAGCCTCCTCCACACCTTATCTCTGCGTCACACCAGTCCCCTCTTTTCCCTCCCCCATGTCTCCTGGGCCCCTTGCCCCATGGGCGATGTAATTCCTATCCACAAGTGTCCCTGGGCTCCTTCCCCTGCCTATGTCCCGGGAAGGTCCTTCCTGCATCCCAGTGTCAGGTGCACTATGCCTCCCTGCTCTGGGTCTCAGGAGGTCCTGCTCGTGTAGTCCCTTGTCTCCGGTGTGTCATGAAGGCCCTCCGCACGTCGCACAGAACACCTTCCTCCCGCGGTCTCCTGTGGAGCCCATCCAGGTATGCAACACGGAGTCTGCTCGGGTTATGTGTGGCCCTCACACTGCCACAGACTTGCAGGAATTTTGTATCAGTGTCTCCATTCCCAGGTGCTTGCTGACCGCCATCCTTGTGCCTGTCTCTGGGGGTATGACAGTGGCTAATGACATGGGCTATTGGGGGGTACAGGATGAGAAGGACAGTGCCATGGCTGAAGTTGTGCAAGAGTGGAGGTCTTTGGGGACTTGCCTGTGTCATCACACAATCTACTCTGGCCTGATGCACACACCAAGGTGCACGGTGCAATGGGTGTGGCCACCACCACCACAGCCCTTGTGAGGTGTCAGGAGCCAGGAGCCTCCCACTATCCCAGCCAACTGCAGGACACCTGTCAAGTCCCCAGAGGTGCTGGTGGCTGCCTCGCTCCTTGAGGCCCTGGCAAAGCTGGCATAGCTGGGAAAAGAGGAGGCCAGGCCCACCAGCCTCCCCCATGTCCTCTCTCCTCTCCCCCGCCCTGGCTCCACAGTCTCCTGGGCTCAGGTTCTGGCTGGAGGAAGCAGGCCTGGGTGGGGGTGGGCAGTGCCCCGTGCCCGGGCTGGCTGTCTCCTTTGCCGCTGCTCTAACCATGAGAAGCAGGCCTCCCACCTGCCTTCTGGGCGCTTCATCAGGCTTCGGGAGGAGGGTCGCGGCCCGTAGTCAGTAGTTGGGGGGTGGGAACGGCTTCATACAGGAGTTGATTGCACAGTTACTCAGCTCCTATATGATGCCTTTCTTCACCCCCTTCAACCACGAGCAGCCCCCGGACCCTCCTCTGCACTCTTGGCTGCATGGGAGTGTCCTCCAGCTTTGCTGTCCTAGCATGCTCTGCGGGCTGGCTCTTGCTTCCCCTTTCACCTCCTTCCCCATCTCCCCGAGGTCCTGGAGGGGTGGGCCTGAGGCTGGGTCCTTTCTGAGGCTTCCTGTTAGAGAGAAGGCTTCATCCCCATGGGATTCTCCCTGGGCTGGGCCCCAAGCCCCCTAGAACCCTGTGGCTCAGAGCAGACTCACTGAAGGTTCAGCCGCGTCAGGCTGGGCTATGCCCACTGAAGGGGCTGTATGGTGCCCTGTGAGGGGACCCAGCTCCCAGGACAGTGGGCAGACGTGGGCAACATGATCCCCTTGTTCCAGGATGGAGGGCAGAGCTACCCTTGGCAGTGTCCTCAAGGAGGGTCTCCTTGAGGGGTCTCTGCCTCTACCCAGGAGTTGTTTGTGACCAGGAGGCTGAGGCCCCTCATAGGCGGCCTCTTACTCTCTCCTTGCAGAGACTCCCTCTCTTCCCCACAGGCCTGAGCATGGGCCCTCAGCAGCTGTCAGCAGGTGCCCTGATCCTTCTCCCTCTTGCGCCCTGCCCAGGTCGGTGCTGAGCCTCCTGTCTCCTGCCCCTCCCATATAGACCCTGCATGGCAGAGGGGACCCTCCTGTCCCTTCTGTCCCTTCTTGCATAACCAGCATGTCAGCCAGCCTGGGCACAGAGGGGCACAGGGTGGGGTGGCCTTTCCTGCTTTGTGGAGGCGTGAGGGTGGGCAGAGGGAGTGTGCACCCCGGGCCCTCTAAGCCCCTTCCCCACTCTCACCACTGGTGCTTGGGGGGCAGTGTTTAGACTGGGGCAGATTATATGGGCTGAGGTCACATGTGATGTGCGTGGGGCATGACGAACATGCCCCGGCACCATGTGGGTGGGAGGGCCTTGGGGATCGTGATTTCTGCGGCATCGCTCTCTTCCTCTCACTGGGAACAGACCAGCCAGAGGGTCTGGGTAGGCACAGAGAAGCCTCCTGCCTCTGCCTTGGAGAGATGCTTGGCCTCTGGGAATGGTCCTGGCACAGTCCTGTGACCCAAGCCATGTAGCAGGACTCGCTTCTGAAGGGATGTGGAGGGGCCCGCAGTGCAGGTGCATTGTGCTGCTATGTGGGCCCCAGAGGTCACTGTGCGTGCTCACCTGGGCACTGGTGACAAGGGGGTCACTGAGAGGGTGGGCTGATGGCCGTGGAAGATGACCAGTGGCACTGCCAGGGTCTCCTGGGGGCCATCAGAGTGTCTAGTCGTCAGAGGCCATGGGGTGACTTGAGTCCCCATGGTGGTAGACGGGGTAGTGCTGTTTGTGGAGCTGGGGGCTAGCAGCCTGCTGGTCACAGCCACCAGAGGCTGCGCTGCTGCCCTCCCTTTTCAGGTTGGTGGTGGCGACGGCTTCCTTGCTTAGTGTGTCCTTTAATATCAATTTCTCCCCCTCCCCCTTTTTCTTCCAGGTCACTTAAGGTTTGTACTATATTTTTAAAAACCTTTTGACTTCAGAAAGATGAGAGACCCCTGACCCGATGTTTTTCCTTTGTCAGTGGTCCTCTGAGCCTAAGGACAAAGCCACCATGATTCGCAGGTGTGCAGGTGGCCTGGTATGTGTGTGAGTGATCATGCCCACCTTTGGGGGTGTCTGGTCCCCCTGAAGAGCACTCCTGGCTTTCATCTGAGCAGGTAAGGCTGGGATGCTCACAGTTCCAGCGGAGGAGCAGGGCCCATTTTGAATTAAAGCAGGGATCCTTCATTGGCCTGAGGGATGGATAGGTGAACTGAGGATGGGGCCTCATCATGCGGGGTCAGGTGGAGCTATAGGCAACTTCCGGAAGTGGCAGAGAGATCTTCTGAGGTTGAGCAGAGCCCCCGACCTCAAGCCTGGAGACCTGACTGTGATCTCTAGGAGTAGCTGTCGGGGGTAGAGTCTTGAGATACCCGGGGGAGAAGGGGAGAGCCAGTCACCCTGGGGACCTGGGAGCGCACAATGAGGTATTGGTCCTGGCCTGGGCTCCTGCCTTTGTACCCCGTGAGTGAATCCTGGTAGAAGTGGGTGGAGTAGGGTCAGGATGAGGCTGGGGTCCCCAGGCTTAGTACTCAGGTAGGCAGAGTCAGGGACTTTTCCCGGGTGGGCTGGTGTCCCTAGTGTGTGAGGTCATGGCAGGTGTGGAGTCACTGTCAGGGGGCCACTGGCGCAGGCTGGTGGTCAGAGGCCACAGACCGGGAAGGTGGCTAGGTAAAGGTGAGCATGTGCTGGACAGTGGCGTGGTACTACCTTCCTGTGCCCCTGGCTCTCCCGGAGACATCTTCCACTTCGAGGGCATCATACGCTTGGAGCAGCCACTTGGATGCTACTTTGGGGTAGAAATCCAAGCATCCTGGGGTCCCAGACTGCTCCACAAGGGTCGGGACGTGTAGACTTCAGGATGCCAGGCTTGAGAACCAGCCTGCACACTGTGGGGCAAGCCTCGGGCAGAGGGCACTGGAGTTCTGGGGCACCCCCTTGGGCAGAGCCAGGTCCCCACATCCCAGCTTCATGGTGGGGGCGGGGAGACATGTCAGAGGGCCCCCCGTGGGCTTGCTGCACCCCACCTCCACCCGCTTCTGGTCCCCTCCATACCACCTTCCCCACCTTTCAGAACAAACCATAAAGTCGGATAATCTTTTCTTTTGCTTTATTTGAGGGATGATAAAAGGTGGGATGGGAAAGAGCGAGGAAAAGTCTCCTCCCCGTGGCAAAAAGCGGGGGTCTGGTTGGAGCACCCTTGCTCCCTGGCACAGGAGAGGCAGGGCGCCCGCTGCCATGGCAGTCTCTCTCTGGGCCCCTTCCTCCATGGGGCCTCCAAGCCCTGCAGTGTCCAGTCTCAGTCCTGGGAGGGAATGGGCTTCTCAGTTCAGCTGCCCACTGGTGTGTCCCTGGCTCTCTGGGACACGGAAGTGGACAAGTCTATCAGGTAAGTGGCAGTGGCACGTCAGACGCTCTGCATTGGCAGTCGGGTAAGACCAGAACTCAGGGTCAGATGAAGTCCGTGTGGAGGGAGCTGAACCAGACAGTTGGGGTGGACTTGCTTGTGGGGTGGGATGGGGCAGGGGGAGGCACTTCGCCTAGGACCTTGGGAGGCTGGGAGGGGGTGTGAGGGTGGGGCCCAGGGGAGCAGGAGCACCAAGGTGGAGGTAGAAGAAGTCCATGGAGCACCTGAGGTCAGTGTCCCAGGATGCACTGGGGTGAGGGTTGTCCCAGCACCTGCTTGCTTGGCTGTGTTGCTGCTACTGCTGCTGCTGCTGCTGCTGCTGCTGCTGCTGCTGCTGCTGCTGCTGCCGCCCCGCTGCACCTGGCGGAGGGCCACCGGGTCACCTCTGCTGCTCATCTCTACACTCTCCTCTCTGATTCATTCCCAGTCTTGGGCCTGGGACCTGGACAATTACGACAGGGCTCGTGTGGTGGCCCTGAGCTAGCTCTGGGTCTCTGAGGGTCAGATAGTCCTTTAGCACAGATGATGTTGCTGGTTGATGAATTGAAGTTATGCCCTTCACAAGTGGGTTCCCCTTGGATCAGGAGTGGCAGGAGTGGGCACTGGGTCTGTGCGAAGCTGGTCAAGGCACGGGGAGGTGGCAGAGACATTGGTGGGTGCCGGGTCAGAGAAGGATAGCGAGGCCTGCTGGCCTGGCAGGAGGTTCTTCAGTCGAGTTCGTCATCCTCAAGGTCGGGGAGCTCTTCCAGCCTCGCTTCCCCTTCAGGCTGCTGTGCAGCAGGGGTGGGTGCATGTGCCACCCGTGAGTAGAGGATGGTGAGGAACTGGGTTAGGGACTGGGCAACCTGCTCCCGGGTGAGCAGCCTGAGCTGACCGCCGGGGCTGGGCACGTAGAGCAGGCGGCTGTTGAGGATGTCGAGGACATCCGGGTCCATCAGGCCACGTGGGTAGATCGGGGCCTCCGCGGCCTCGGCCTCACGGGGGGACAGGGTCTCCTGCACGTCGTTGTCCTGCGCGTCCTGCGAGGTGTCTTGCAGGCCGTCATGCAGGCCACTCTGACGGTAACGTTGCAGGTCGTCTTGCAGGGCTTCTCGCAAGACGACATCCTCATCTCCAACGACGTGCAGCTCCAAGTACCGTTCGTGGCGCAGAGCATGACGGCCAGGCTGAGCGCGGGTGCCCCGGACACCAAAGAACTCACATAGGATCAGCCAGAAGCCGGGGGTGAACCGCAAGCCCTGGGGCAGAAGGGGCGGCAGGGCATTTCTCTGCCAGCGTCGGGGGCTCAGGAAGAGGTCAGCCAGCTCTCGGGCAGGGATGGGATTGGCGCGAATGAAGGGTGGCAGTTGGCTGAACAGCTGGGTGAAGGCCCTGGCCGTGGTGTTCCTCACGGTGATTGTAGAGTCCAAAATGAGGCGCGGGCAGCGGCATGGTGCGGGCCGGGCCACCAGCATGGAGGGGGCAGGCAGCAGTGTGGGCTGCTGCCGGGCTTCCATCATGGTGAGAAGGGATGCGGGGGCCAGGACGCTCCCCCAGTGCAGGATCCCCCGGAAGAAGTGCAGGAGGACAGAGCGGATCTGGGCCCTGCTGAAGAGAGCCAGGAAGTCGATGAAGATGTGGTCAATGGGGATCAGGTTCAGAAGATACTGCTGCAGGTTCAGTTCATTGAGCCCGCCCTGCTCTGACAGGAGGTCACTCTCCTCCTCAGAGTCGGAGTCACTGGTCTCCTCCTGGGGCTGGCCTTGGGTGGCCAAGTATAGGACTGGCCGCGCCACCCTGTTCCTCATGGCCCTCGGGTTGCAGCTGCTCGGGGACGCAGGGGGCCAGCTGCCATCCATGTGCCGCGGCTCCATGATGTCGAAGTTGAAGTGAGAGAAGAAGAAGACCCAATGCCCGGGGAGAAGTACGGTGAGCCTGTCATTATTCAGGGAGGCTAGATCCTCTGTGTTGAGAAGGATCATGATGGGCTCCTCGGTGTTCTCCAGGTAGCGGCACCACACCATGAAGGAAGCCCGGATTGCAAGGACCTTCAGCTCCACCAGAGAGTACTCGACCTCTATAGGGGAGAAGTTGCGGGAATAGAAAGCGCAGGTGACTCTCCTGCCCGTGTGCTCGTCCAGTTGGATCAGGGTTGTGTACAGAGCGGTGCAGGTGATGCCCGTCTCCAGGTAGAACGGGTTCTGAGGCCGAGGGTGGTAGAGACGGGGCGCCGTACGGAACGCCCTCTGCAGACACTCGAGGGCCTCCTGCTCCTCTGCACCCCAGTAGAAAGGGTCAAAGCTCAGCAGCAGCCTCACCAGGGGCTCTATGATGATGGCAAAGCGCTCCACAAAGTGGCGGTAGGGGAACATGAACTCGATCATGGTCTGCAGCTCCCTCCTGGAGTGTGGGATGGTGTAGTCCATGACCACGTCTACGACACTCCTGTTGATCTTCACCCCTCTGGGGGACAGGTGGAAGCCCAGGATCTCACCGCTCTGCCGGTGGAACTGGCTCCTGGTCAGGGAGCAGTAGACGTGGTGGCGTCGGAAGCAGACCAGCACCTGGCGGACGTGCTGGATGTGCTCCTGCAGGCACATGGAATAGATCAGCACTTCCTGCCCATAGGAGGCCACAAAGTAGCCTAGCATGTCCCTCAGGATGAAGTGAATCACGTTCTGGGGGATGATAGGGTCTGCGGAGAGCGCAAAGGGCTGGTACTCCTTCATGTCTTGTGGCTCCAAGCCGAATGCTGCTCTCCATGTGTCCTCTGTCCGGCCTCCGTGTGCGCCTTGTTCCACAATGGTCCCACGCAGCACCAGTCTTGTGAACCATGTAGCTCCGTGTAACTGGTCAAACAGTTCCGGAATCATCTGTATGTAGTCCTGTCTGTCTGTCAGCATGTCGTGCAGCTCCCAGTATTCTTCCTCCAGTCTCGCTGCTTCTTGCATCCTGGCACCCACAGGTTCCCAAGGCGCGGCGGAGGGACACTCGTAAAAGATCTCGCTGTGATCACTGTCTCCAGCCTGCTGAAGCTCAGAGGGCTCTGATTCAGAAAGATCATCGGATCCGTCTGAGCTTGGCTGGTCGGAAGTCTCATCATCTGCTTCTCTCGGGTTAAACACATCGGCCAGGTCTGAGTATGGGTGCGGCAATCCAGGCAGCAGGCTCACGCTATAGTGTTCCAGTCCGATGCATGCTGGGGCTGGGCTGAAGCAGTTCTTCAGGCAGTAGGGAGAGTGGAAGGTCAGGCGGCCTCTGACCCAGTCGACATCAGGAGCATGGAGTTGCAGCCAGTTGCTGCCCAGGATGATGGAGAACTGAGAGGAAGGTATGATGTCAAACTCAATGGACTCCTGGTGGTTCTGATGCATGCACACCATTGGCTCAGTGTACAGCCAGATAGGCTCACTGCCGAACACCCCGAAGCCATCGGTGGTGTGGATCACGCGAGGTTCAGGCTTCTCGTACAGCTCAATGTAGTGCTCTTGGGCGAAGTTCTCATCCATGAAGTTGCCCTCTGCCTCAGAGTCGACCACAGCTTGGACTGCGACACAGTGGTAGGGGTTCACCCTCACCAGGAGCAGCAAGAAGAAGTGGGGACGGTTGATGCCTGGGTGGTATGCACCGGGCAGCCATTTGCTGACCATCCACTTCTCTGGAACAGGTGAGTCCATCCAGGCCAGGTTCCGTGGGCGGGCCTCTGGGGGCAGCCGCATCATCGCTTGGCGCTCTTCCAGCTTGTCTTCTATTTGCAGAATGAGCAAAATCAGACTATCCAGGGAATCTGGCTGGGGCAACCGGAACAGATAATGCCTGATATCTTCATTAAGCCCCTGGCACAGGTGGGCCTGCAGGACTTCATCTGGCCAGCGTAAGGTGGGTATGAGACTCTGAAAGTCAGTGATGTATTCGGAGGCAGTGCGATGTTCCTGCTTGATGTAGAACATGGCCTCTTCTGCCAGACGCAGTGTGTACCTGTACTCGAACACCTCTGACATAGCCTCTAGGAAGGCTGGGAAGCTTTCCAGCACAGGGCTGTTTTGCTGGATCAGAGATTCGGCCCATTCCAAGGCAAAGCCAGAGAGGTGGTTGATGACATACTGAGCTCTTGCTCGGTCACTGCAGCACATTGTTGGGTAGCATTGTAACATCAGTTGGCAGAGCACGATGAACTCGTGGTACTCTCTGCGGTCCCCGGAGAAGGGTCTTGGGGAGGGCAGTTGGCCAGCAGCGAACCCCTTCCTCAGGAGCTCTTCCGCCACTCTTTGTTGTTCATTGAGGTCATGCATCCGGAAGTACACCGAGAGGACGGCGTTCATGGTTTCTCTGATATCTTCACCGGGGTCCTCGGTCTGGGTCTCCTCTTCAGTGTTCGACCCTTCAGATGCCAGGTTAGTGCTGTCGTCGTGGTCTTCATACGGGGAGCTTGCCGGGTACACTGATGTTGCTTCCGATTCATCAGACGACTCACTCAGTGGGTCCTCCTCCGTTGCCGTGTCAGAGACGTTGCATGACTCCTCCACGTCTTGGAGTAGGTCATTGGGTGGATCCTCTGTTCCCCTAAGTGGGCCACTGGATGGCTCCTCCATGTCTTGGAGGAGATCAGCAGGCAGCTCTTCGGTCTCCTGAGGCGAACCACTGCCCAGCTCCTGGCCCTCCTGCGCCGGGCCCTGGGTGGCGCCTGCCTCTCCCTGTGCTCCGCTGCCTTCCGGCTCCACGACGGTGTTGGATGAGCCCTCAGAGGACTCCATTTGTTTTGATGATGGATTCTTACGCTCCATCATCGTCTCAAATGAGTCTTCAGAGGGTTCTATCATTGCGTCGGTTGAAAGGAGAGTTTCCTCAAGATTGGTAAGGTCGCGCTGCACCTGCTCAGCCATTGGAACCTTGAAGATCAGAACCTATGGGAAGAATGGGCGGGGCAGGGAGGAAAGGCAGCAGTTTAGGGTCTCCAGCATTGGGGGTGGGTTCTCAAGAACAAATCAGGCGCTTGATCAATGAGAACAGGGAAGAACCAAGGGAGAGATAGCCTCCTCGGCTGGCCACCTGGGCCTTCAGGGGCCCAGACTCAGCTCCCTCCTAGACAAAGTCTCTGCCTGGTTTCCCTGCTTCCATAGTTCTGTGAGGGGTCCACAACCCGGGACCTCTGTGCAGCGACTGGGCCAAGTGTGTATGTACTGTGACATGCTGTGCCATTTCTCCCAGGTCACATATCTGGCCAAACCTCCTTTCTTTCCTTGACTTCCGAAAGTCCCAGAAATCACATCTGCGCTCCATTCAGATCTATCCTGGCTGTGCTTTTGTGTACAAGGGGAAGCCCTAGCAAGGAACCCACCACTGTGTGGGTCAGTTAGTGGAAGCGGGAGATGACGCTTGGCCACAGTCCCGCGTCCTGGGTCCCCAGCCTGGAACGGCTGATGTTTCCTCCTTCAGCACCACAGGATTTGTGAGAGAGACATGGAAGTCTGGCTTCTGGCTCTTTGCTTGTTTCTCCTCATACATTTTTATAAAATACCAGTGTGCTGCATACCTGGACATTAGGTCCTAGGCCTTAGGTCATGCTTTTTAGGGATCTCTCTGTCTTGGTTGATCTTCCAGGGCCATGTGCCCTCCAGCTCTAAGCCAGGGAGGAGACTATCCGATAGCCCTGCTCCTGCCGTGATTGCTGCTCACCCAGGAGTCTCAGTTTGTTCTGCAGGTGTCCAGGCTCTTGCGCCTCTGGCCTCAGTCCCCTGCTGGCACACACCTGCATGCCTTTGTGGTCTGACTTGCCTGTCTTCTTTGCTTTCTCCTCCTCCCTCCCCCTGGTCAGTGCTCCTGAGCCTTGGGGCTGACTGACCTCCTCCAGCACAGAGGTGAGCCTTGCAGAGAGGTGACATGGGGTCAGAGGAGGGCATGATGCATCTTTGAAATCTCTTCTGGACGCTTTGAAAATCTAGTGAGGGGTGGTTTTAATGGGTTTAGGCTAAATTTCAAGAGGTGTCTGGTTCAAGGCTGTTTGCACATTGTTTTCTGTGGGCCAGAGCAAACTGAGTGACACTAAATTAGCTGTACAGTGAGTTCTCTTTATAAAGCTAACACCTTCTGCTATTTCTCACTGTATTTCTTAAAGCCACTATGCAGATCTATAAGGAAAAACATATTCCCTATGTAAAACTCCTCACTGGCTAAAATCCAAACTTTCCAACAGGATACAAAACTCAGATCTGCTGTTTCTCAAAATTAAGCATACTCTTGTTGGCATGTAACCCCTCTGATTAAAGCCTTTGGATGTTTATTTACTGTCTGCAATATCGAATCCAAACCTTTTAGAATAAACATATCTGACATGTAAACTCACCAAAACTGTTCTCTGGCTAAAATGTAAAGGGTTTAGCGTAATAACGAGTTCTGACGTATCGTTCCCTAAGGTAGCAATCACATCTTTTTCTAGTGTGCTACCAATTAGGTAAAGCATCGTCCCAGAACTATGTGCATGACACATTGAACAAATTAACTTGTTTCCTCTTCACAAAAGTCCTAAGGTGTGTGTTTTTCTAAAATCCCAAGACTCTTAATACAAAATTCAAGTTCAAATACAAAATTTGCCTTAAGAAAGGCATCTGCAGACTCACCTATCAGAAATAAAGATCTCAACACATCTATCACTTAAAATCCTTTCTTGGCTAAAATTTAAATTCCTTAATAAGATGATTAAAAACCTAGACTATATACCTCTCAACAGATTTATGAAATTTTTTTTTTTTTTTTTTTTCAGAACCGGGGATTGAACTCAGGCCCTTGCACTTGCCAGGGAAGCGCTTATTCCACTGATCCATCTTCCCGGCCCCAGATTTATGAATTCTACATGTAGATGATTAAATCTTTAAATATTCCTACCTTCTACCTAAGATCTATTATCCAGGACATATTATGAAAGTCTCATTTTAATACTTTTCAACATTAGTATTTTCAGCATAATAAGTAAAAATTATCCCATAATTTATTTAAAACAAATAAAACTTCCTTTTTATTGCCTATGGTGAAATTTAGCATGAAATAAAAATTTCTGTAGTTTATCTGCCAATTAATCAGCACAAAGTCTGTGACCCCAACGCACCACTCCTGAGACCTTTGATTGGCTTTAATTCCCAACCTCTTAGCATGCTATAAAAATGTGGCCATGTCATTTTCTCAACATAAAAGGTCACACTTTTTGCAAGGTGCATGGATTTGCTATTGTAACTTCTACTTAAAGCTTTATAATGTCTCTCAATTACCTACGAAATAATGTCTAAACCATTAGTATAAAATAATACATTTTACTCTAATTTCTCTGCAGACTGCTCCATCCAACAAAAAAACTACCACATTACTCTGAAAAATCTCTTAATGGCTGAAACCCAAATTACTCAGCATGGCATAAAAATATGATCTTGTCATGCTTCAAAACTGTCCGAATTTTTGAGCCTGTGGTGCAACTTCTCTCCCTTGTTCAGTCTTGGAGAACCTCTCAGCGTGGAGCGCAGAGCCAGTGCCTCGAGCCCGTGCCCCTGCTGTGCAGCAGCCTTGGTCCGCTTGCTACCTGGCTCTGCACATGCAGACGCCTTAGCACGCAGTGTCTAATTCTGCATCAGTTCACGCCTCATAACTCTCTCCTGGCTGAACTCCGAATGCCTCTGCACGAGGACGAAACACCTCACTCTCAAATCAGAACGATCCAAGGCCAGAACACATAGAATCACATCTCTTTAGCATGTTATAAAAACTTGGTCATACTGTCTTCACCACAAAGACCTACTCGCAGCCCCACTGCAGTGCATGAACTGGGACACGATAGTCCTCAATTTAGAACTTCCCAAAGGTTCTTCATTGCCTGAAACATAAAGTCCCAGGTACTTCACGTAAAATGCAGCATTTTACCAGGTAATTCATCATCAGGAATCAGGATGGTTTATAAAAACAAATAAACAAACAAAAAAACCACACCCAATCTCATGCTGTAACAATTTTAAGCCATGTATTTGCTTAAGTCCAAATTTATTAGTATGATATAAAATTTGATCATGTCATCCCTTAAAATAAGCTTCACACTTCCTAGTAAAATACATTAAACTTGATCTTGTAATTCTACCTTAAAACTCTACAATTCCTCTTAATTTTGTATGGTGTACAAGTCCAGATTCTTTACATGAAGTGTGAATTTTGTTCTGTAATTTTCCTTTATCAAACCCAAGAAACTTTACTGTGTCTCTCTGCTAGAACTTTTTATTGCCCCAATCAAATTTGTAGACATGTGCAAGAATCCTACCATGTCCAGACTTCTAAATAAATTCGACTTCTTTGCATATTCAGAGTGATGAGCATGCAACCACCCTGGTTAAACTCCTTCAGCAACAAGTCAGCGTCAATCACGTCTCCTTGACGCACCCAGTCGGTCAGACTTTGGCCTTTGCTTGGCCTTCGAGGTTGGACTGTTGAGGCCGTTCCCTTTCTAGTTACAACTACCAGATTGGACTGTTGAGGCCATTCCCTTTCTAGTTACAGCTTTTCTGCTCCAGCATCGTTAACCACAAAATACATTTTATCATGTTGTCCTGTAGGCCTGTCTTCCATAAGCAACAAGCCCACCATCACATTTCTTAAAAACCCTTTGATCAAAATCCTTAATGTGATGTAAACCCCAAAAGAAAAGCCCAAATCTATTCATGAAACTCCTGCTTAAAATCTTTTAATGGAGTCTTATCATCCATAAGAGATCTCAGTGTCTTTGTAGAGTGCCCAAATGTATCCAGCTGCAGACCTTGCGATGATGTGAAATCCAAGGGCCTCAGCATAAGGTGGAACTTAGAGCAAGTGTATCTTGCTTTGAACATCTTTAGGTTGTGCTTTATTTCTTATAGTATCAACCTTAAATCCCTTTGCATGCATACAAAGTTTTTAGCTTAAGGGTTCAGCTGCTTGCTATTCCTCAGATTTCTCGAAAGAGCAGATTCCTTACCTGCTTACCTCAAGCACATCTTGGCGTCATTGTTTCTAGATCTTTCTACCTGTAAAACACTATCATTCACTAGTTCCTACAGCAGCATGTCCCCATTCTCTTCGTGGGCCGAGTTCTGTGCCAGAACCCCACATGCCAAGCCCCCCCTGTCTTGCCCTGCCCTGGTGCCTCTGCCAGTGACATGAGTCTGTTGTCCGCCTGGGGTGTGAGTGGGCCTGGGGCAGGATGAGGGGTCCCTCTGCACCTTTTTAGAGCCACCATTCTGCACACATTCTGTGGCTTAGGACAAACACTGTGGGCTTCTTCAGCCTCTGCCTTTTGGCAGCCCACCTTGCCTTTTCTCCTGGCCCCACAGTGCAAACCCTCTCAGGCCTTCCAGTGCAGCTCCATAAAGGCAGGCCTCAGACCTGAACAAACTTTCTTGTTGAGAAGTGCCTCCACTGCTTTGAAATTCCTACCTGGCCCAAAGGAAAGGACAAATTATCTGTGCTTAGTGTTTGGGGTCAGAACTTCCCTTCAGAGCATTGAAGGGACCTTCTACCCTCCACACTCAGACAGACACACCCGCCTCTCCACCACCAGGGCCAGAGCCCGCTTGCCTGAGCTCAAGTGGCCAGGCTCAGAGCTGCTAGGCTGTTCCTCTGAGGGGAGGGTGTGGCAGCTCCCTGTGTGACTGCCTCTCCCTATACAGTGAGGGAAGTCTGATTTTGAAAATAGAGCTTAGAGGAGATGAGAAGGTATTTCAGAGGAGAGTTAAGTGTGTGGGGTGTGGACTACGGGGTTGGGGTGCAGAAATTAAGACAGAGGTGAAGACAGAGGAGGCAGAAAGCGCCTGAG